TAATATATTTATCTATTAATATAGTTAATATATTTGTCTATTAATATTCATTGCTGTTGCCATCTCATTGTTGGAATGAAAAGCACCATCTCTAGTTTTGACTATAGTTTTTTTTATTTGTTTCATTGTTTAGAAGTTTACGCAATATTACAATGGCTATTTGCACACAGCCGTGCCTAATTTTGAGCTGACAAACTATAGGGAAGATTGTTAGTCAACAGCACTCACCGCCAACTCCTTTGGCTAGTCTTGTCTGACCAAAAAATATGATTTTGCGGCCTGACCCATTGAGGAAAGACTAGTAACACATTGAATGTTCCTCAAGACTTCTTGTGTTCATACACAAGTTAACTCCTACACCGTTATTAGACAATGGATATTATAACAAAACCATCTGACTTCTGAATGACTTTGAGAAAATGATCCAACCAGTAGAAAAGAAAGTGAAACGACGAAAAATCGTTTCACCTTGATTGTTTTAATTTCATTTGTGAATATTTCCGGACTTCGTAAAACGTTTGTTTGTTGAGAAACAACATTAAAGTATATTTTGAAAAGAGGAGATACATAATTTAGTACTATTTTATATTTTGTATTATAATTATTGTAAGTAATAAAATCTGTGTTTGAGGTTTGTATATCTTAAATTAAACTTGATTGAATTGTTAGACGAAAAGGTCTGATAAACATTGAAAGAATCGACCTACATCTTAGCACAAAGTTACACAATAAGTGATCTGCGATCTGACCGTCGCAGGGACTCAAACTCCGGATTTTAAAATTGTAAGTCCGTAAATTTACCGCTGACCCACTGGGGACATCTACCTATCTAACTCAAGCAGAAATCTTTTCTTATACGTTGTCTACCTGCAAAGCAGCCGTTTGCTAAACACGCAAATAACCAGAGTTTTATACAAGTCGTTTATGTAAAAGCTAAGAGTAAAACTGATTTCCTCTTGGTGAATCAATACTTGTATATTAGTGTTTTTTTATTAGTTCCGAAATAAAAAGCGAAAACAGAACTGTTTAAAAAAAACAACTATTTCACATTGTACACCAATCTTAGCTATAAAAATATTCTTATTTATTTCAGAGCAATATCTACACAATTTTCGAACAAACAAACAAAAAATTAACATTCTGAAGACTTTGTTAAACGACTGCTCGATCGATACACTGACGATTTTGCAAAAAGAGATGTTTAGCATGTTCGAGTTAAGTATAGAAATTCAAAATATTCAATATTACATGCATATTTCGTTTCCAATGGAAACCAAAACGACTATAAACGTTCACGAAGTACGATTAAATAACACAGTTGACTGAAAAAGAAAGCCATCTTTGTTCCATAACGGTATATTTTGAAGTGCTTAAGCCAGGTCTCTTATACGATTTTTCTATACGTCATTGCATTGATCCAGAAATTTGCGAGTACATGATGATAATGTCTATCAACTAGACTAAAAGCACAGAACTTACTACAATTTGTTGGTTTTGCATTGTTACTTTTGCCTGTGGTATTCGAACTTCTCCCAAACGTTTTCTTGGCGAAGTTCTTCACGGCAATCTTGGGGCAATTAACCCCCGTAGAGTTGGAGCTATTAGTCGCCTCCCGTCTTTCGGGGGTTGTGCCAGACTTATTAGGTTCGCTACATAAGCTTGTTGATGAATCACTGCGTTCACTTCTTGCCGAGCTGAAGCCGCTACTGCTGCTTGTTCGCTTAGAAAATGCGCCACCTAGGAACAAAAGTAAACACTAAATCATAAAGTTTGTTTTATTTTGCTGTCGTTATTTCATGTACAGAATACTATTTTCATAACTATCAAAGTTTATACAGAATAAAAATCTGATGTTGTTTAAGGAAAAAAAATACTGTTCAGTTTACTCTAATATCTCAAAATGTTTTTATTTTTAAACCATTCATTATTTACTGTTCAAAATTTTATTCGATTTATAATTATACCAAAATTACCCAAAACCTTCAAAAATATTGTTAACCGTTTGCAACTCATGTAGCGTACATAAGTTTGGCGTACAACAGTTGGGCACAGCACAGATAGTCCATTGTGTAACTTTGTGCTTAACAACAAACAAACATATGTTTAATTCGTCTCAAATATATAAATTGCTCCTGAGTACGTTGTTCTTGCTACTTTTCAAATTTATCCAGACAACAGGCTTGAACTATTTTTGTACTTTTAAGTAGATATTTTCTCATCAGTAAAATAATAATTGATTAGCATTTTATTCACTTTTATGTTTTTCCAATTATTACGGCCTGGCATGACCTGGTGGTTAAGGCGCTCGACTCGCAATCTGCGGGTCGCGGGTTCGAATTCCTGTCACCGGACATGCTCATCCTTTCAGGCGTGGAGGCGTTATAATGTGAAGGTCAATCCCACTATTCGTTGGTAAAAGAGTAGCCCAAGAGTTGGCAGTGGGTGGGGTTGACTAGCTGTCTTCCCTCTAATCTGTTACTGAAAAATTAGGGTCGGCTAGCCTTTGAGTATCTTTGCGCGAAATTCAAAACAAACTCAATACAACTATCTCTGTCGACTTTTTTTTTTATCACCACTTAATATTTCCTATTCCAAAGTACAGAAAAAAAAAACTAAAGTAATATTCCTTATAAACTCATAGTTAATTCTGCTTACTTTAGTGTTATTGCACATCAAAATACAAACTGTACTTAAATAATTTTACAATTTAGTAGCAAAAGCCTCCTGCTTATGAGTTTGATTGTTTGTTGTTAAGCTCAAAGCTACATAACGGGCTATCTCTGTTCTGCCCACCACGGGTATCGAAACAGAGTTGCCAGGGGGGGGGGGGCGCACTGCTTAAGAGAGTTGAAAGAAATTTATATAAATAGAATGGTGTTTTCTTGATTCATACAATAATGAAGAAGATAATTCGTATTGTTTAAGTGGTTGAACATATGATTATGATCTATCTAGTGTTAAGAAGATGAATTTTTAAATGCATTATTATTTATATGAGAGTCGTAACTTTTAAAGTCATTTGTTTTGAATGTACAAGGGAAGTCAAGCTGATCATTTTCCATAAGGAAGCCTAATATAATTATTAGAATGAAATTACTTACCTTTAACTCTATCTCCAGGTTTTTCTTTGGAATTGAAAAATTTTAATTTATCTAACATGGAATTATTGTGGTAAGAGGAGTTCTTGTTTCCAGGAAAATGTACCACGCCTGGTGGATTACGTAAAGTAACCCCGGAACTGATTTTGACCGGAAGATGAGGTATTGATGATGTCGATGAAGCTGATGAAGGTCTGAAATATGATTTGAAAAAAAAAACAATGTTTTGACCATTTTATTTATCATCTATTTTTTGAACTACATGTAACCAAGAAAGTTGAAACTATCCGGAACCGTGATTACGAATCAACTCTATCTCTAAAAAGGCGGCAATAATTTTAATGTTATTTGTGTTTAGACACAAACAAACATGTAAACCGTTACTTTGTAGTCCTTACAAATTTGATTATGATCATAATAATATGAATCTATCGAAAAACGAAGACGTGTTCTCACGAACCATGTCATATCTTTGGAGGACTAACATCAAACCCCACAGTGGCACAGCGGTATGTCTGCGGACTTACAACGCTAGAATCCGGGTTCGATACCCGTGGTGGGCAGAGCACAGATAGCCCATTGTGTAGCTTTGTGCTTAACCACAAACAGACAAACAATTTCTTTTACTGCCTACACGGTTGTGAACAAAATATATTTATTCAAATTCAGTTCGTTAGTGTACTTCCTCTAATTTGTTTGCTTGAAAATATAAGCAGTTTTTCACATGAAATAGCGCTAAATGTTATAATGATACCATTCCTAACACAAAATGTCTAATGCATAATTCAATAAATTGAAAAACTCATTTTAAACTAAATTAATTTTCGTAAATTTCATTGAAAAACGAAATTAATTGTCAACTCACACATTAATATTTGAGTAGTTTCGAAGCAATTGTGTAACAGTTGAAACTGTTTGAAATATACCTTTCACAGGATTTCTCTGACAAATCTATTAATAAGTCGTGATTATAATGCAAGTCAATGTAATAAGTGTTTGTTTTTAATGTTAAAACTATGTGTTATTGAACGTTTTGGACCAGGTGTGGTCTAATCTTTCACGTGACGAGCTGCTAATCAAAGAGTCCAAGGTTGTAGATTTTAACTGTAAACACATTACAAAATAAACAGTTCAATAACGTTATTCGAGTCAGAGAGCCGGACAAAGTTCTTGTGGTTGTAGGTTCTGTTGACTGGCTACTTTTTGCGGAGCAGTTGTTCAAAATTAGGAACAGCTATACCTAAACCTTGAGGGTCTCTGACCTCGTTATTCTTCCCACGTCTCACAAATTCAAATTCCACAATAGAGTGAAAAAGGATGTGTTTGGTGTTTAGTACAACGTTCCACAATAGAGTGAAAAAGGATGTGTTTGGTGTTTAGTACAACGTTCCACAATAGAGTGAAAAAGGATGTGTTTGGTGTTTAGTACAACGTTCCACAATAGAGTGAAAAAGGATGTGTTTGGTATTTAGTACAACGTTCCACAATAGAGTGAAAAAGGATGTGTTTGGTGTTTAGTAAAACGTTCCAAAATAGAGTGAAAAAGGATGTGTTTGGTGTTTAGTACAAAGTTCCACTAAGAGTGAAAAAGGATGTGTTTGGTGTTTAGTACAAAGTTCCACAATAGAGTAGAAAAAGGATATATTTGGTGTTTAGTACAAAGTTCCACTAAGAGTGAAAAAGGATGTGTTTGGTGTTTAGTACAAAGTTCCACAATAGAGTGAAAAAGGATATGTTTGGTGTTTAGTACAAAGTTCCAAAATGGCCCATCTGCGTGTTGTCCGCCGATGGACAGTCCAAAAGGGAAAATAAACTTCTGAGTTGTTAAATGTGACATGATCTATAATTTCCATTTTATTTTGAAACTCAGACGACCAGAAAGTTAATGACATAATGATAAGCTAGAATGGTAATACAATATAAACATATAACAAATATGTAGAACGTCTAAATGGACGAAACGCTTCCTCACCTGGAGTGATTTCTGTCAGTACTGTTTCTATCTCGAGTAGCTACACCACTTCTTGGCTGTGGTATGAATGATCCATGAGGGGACCCAGACCTCGAACTGTCACCAGATGGCACCTTAGGGACAAGACTTCCGAGCGCTATTATTAAAAGAATAGTAAACAAATATAGTTCAGACTACATCAGAAATATTCTTCTTTATTTTCTCAATAACAACACAGAGAATTATATATCATATAAATGAAGTATTATATATTGGTTGAAGAACATTACTGACCATTCTGCCTCTCATTCTATTCTGTATGGCTTTCTTTATTACCATTTTAAATGATGTACTTAAAAACCAAGTAAGAACAAAAGTCATGGTCATTATATTTTATGTACAGAAGTTATGCAAAATGTACAAATTCCTTTAAAAAGTCACTAAACTTTCTTTACAGTTTGAACAGTCATTTTCTAAGATGATAATTATGTAGCTGGAATATAATGTTTATATTAATAAAAGTTGTAATACCAATAACAAAAACAATAAAAAAAATTAATCGGAACTCCATTGATAATTATCTACCTAAGCATCTGTATTTTGATTATTGAAACCCTTAACATATGTGAATAATAAAAAGCATAAAACTATGACAAGATGATACAAATATTTGGAGGAGTGTTCAGTTTTATAGAAGTTTCCCGGAATGAAATCGTCCCCGAAAGTTCTCCCTATTAGATAATTTTCAAGTGCGAATAACTTTTTTTGTGTGTGTGTGTGTGTGTAAAACGAGATGTCATACTGCACATTTTGTTGGATATGTGGGATAAAATCATTCTAATTGACATTAAATTCTTATAAATTCACCATTATTCCTTTGGTGGCATATTTACAGATGGCAATTTTACAACAAGTTGAAGTGAATCCTAAAATAGTGTGATTTTACTGAAGTAAATTTCCAAAGTATCTCGATAATGAAATATATCTGATCACTTTATATTTGAATCAAGAACGTCGAGAGCCAGCACGGACCCCGGGGCAAACATCCTCGCCGAGCTCCCTTTCTCTCTCATTTTCAAGAATTTATTAAAAAGAAGATCCTAAATTAGGACAGCAACGAGCTCATAAACCAGACAAAATCATAGCAGCAGCCGTTTTTACCTCACAGTATAGGCGTAAAAACATTAATAAGTAACAACAAATATCTTTTAAATCTATAAAGTAACAAATACATATTAATTATTATTTCAGTCGTTCTTAATGTATCAAGCGTCTATATACAAAGAAAAGCCAGAAACTTTGGTTTTTATCATTAAATGAAGATATAGCCTAAAGATGCTTTGCGGGCTTTACGGCATAATCAGGTTTCATTCGCCCGGGCCACTGGGCAGTTGTCCCCTTTGCCCCCCCCCCCCCCTGTCGGTGAGTCTGATTTGAATCTCGAAAAATGATTATTATACTAAGCCTAATGCAATATTAAAAATATCTTTTGGCCAACAGTTGAGACTTGATTTTCCTAATAATTTGAAACTTTGAATTTGAGCAAGATATGAATGAATTCTGGTGTATACCAGGGTAAGATTTTTATTTTTAACCTAATATGTTCATTTGTTAGTTCTAATTATTCGCACCAGCTATGATGAAAATATGGCGTTTTTACCAACTTTCAAAAATTCATTTATCAAATTATATTTATAAAAAAACAATAATAGTAAACTTTTAAAGAATAGTGTTAATAATGTCTTAGATTAATAGTTTCTGGTTACAAACACACGTCCAAACAATGGCGTGAAAGAGTCTGTCCGTTTCCATAGATGCCTGTTTTCAGGTATATCCCCATGTGACTATTTTAGTGATAAATGACAATGATTTCGTGGTTACTTAAGAGTGCACAAACCCAGATGTGTCTTAGTTCCTGTATGAGAACCAGACGCACCTTCAACCATCATTCCTGAACACTGCATAACCAGTGTTTCTAGCACAGATGCCTATGTGCGAAAGAAATAACGTAAAATTATGTACCTCCATTATTTATTATTCACGTCAGTTACAGCCTTCTGTGGTTTATCAGAAGAAAGTATCTCATGATCTGAGCTGTTTCTGATCGCAAAATATAATCTATACAATCGTGACAGGAGAGAAAAATCTGTGTATATTAATGCGTGTGAACCGAAATTGTGATTATGTTTCGTTCAGTGTTTCCTGATACTTTAATTTGTATTATGTTTTTATTTCACGAACTAAGGTTCGAAAATGTTACTTAGCCCTGTTTGATGTCAAAGGAACAAAACGCTTTAGTTCCAAGGAAGGTGTGCGACAACACGTTGTATTTAAAGCTGACTTACACCTTTCGTCTTCCTCACAGTTTACATATTTTACCCATGTATCGCAGTATACACGTCTTGTTCTCGTATACTAACATATACAGTTTATCCATATTCAACAACTTCGACACCTTACTCCAACGCTGTAGTAAACTTTAATTTCAATATTCCACTGGACGCTTGATAGATTAACCTTTTTACTGAACTGTTCTTCCTTCACTGCTATGTTTGTCGATGAGGAAGAAGTTATGTCACTTTAAACAAAATCCACATAAGAATGAAACACTTATAACAAGTTTTATGTGTTTCAATTAGAAAGCAGTTTATCTATTATAACGGTGTTCAGTTTTTGTCTGTCCTGTAAACGTGCTTGCGCGCGCACTTTATTTTCACGGATGTAAACAGAAGATAGATGTAAATATACTTTAGTAGACATTTTGTACAACAAACTAAAAGCTTATTAATTTCTTTTTTAAAAAGGCTAACGTTAGGTCGTGTATTAAAATTATAAGTTTATTTATTGATAGTATTAAATAATGTAAAGTTTAGCCGTAAAAAAACTAATGCAAAAAACGTACACAAGTTACAGTGTTAATTTATTGAATATAGGCCTTACGTAATAAAGGCTTAACTATTGTTAGGCCTAAGATATTTGAACTAACAGATTTCGGTGTCTGCGATTAAAATTCTTTTTTATTGTTCTAGAAATCCTGTAATTAAAGAAGCACTGTTGCAATAAAGATACTAATTTGACAGCAAATGTTTTGCGGGTCTCTGCTAGTTCATTATATTATCTATCTATTTATTTAATGATACCAGAACCAAGCATTTGAGGTCAATTAAAATATACTATTAACCTTATAGCTGGCAAAATTTGTTGTTCATAGAAAATTCTTTAACGCTATACAACAGTATTTTACGTTGTTTCATTTAATTCAGTTTGATGTAAAGAAGTTTGAGAGTGTCAATTGAAATTTTGACGCCATTAAGTAATGACCAATTTAATGTACGTACAATAATCTATTTTCCATGTTCGTTTTGTACTAATTCACAATGATATATTTAAAATTCAATATTTGAAGGGTTAACCCGCATTGTTGGACAGATCATTGTAGAAGGAAACTGTTACAACAGATTTATTTTATTGTTGTTTCCTTATCATATTATGCCCTTGAAATAACTAAAAATACAAATTCCACTTATCAAGACGTCCTGTTCTAAGATGATAAGAGTAGAATGCTAAAGTTAATTCAGTATTCGAAAACAAAATTCATGGTAATTCGGACAGGCCGTTATATGGCATCAGATGCATAAAATGTTCAAATGTGGAGTAATTCCCTTATATGGATTATAACTGCCTTTTTCTTCTTCTAATTTTTTCACATTGTTACTGTGTTTGTTGATCGTGACAAAGTAACGGATGGCACGTGTGAAAGTAAACATTAGAGTGTCCATAACACGCGGATTGACCGTTATAAAATTCAAAGGAAAGTGATGACAAATAATTGAACATTCACATCCACGTGGACGGACTATCGTATAAAAACAAGTAGTATCCAGACAAATGCACGAACGTACGAAGGTTATTGAAAGCAGTAGCAAACTGCATATGCAATGATAAAGCATGAAATATGTGAAGTGTTCCAAATAGGTAAAAAAGAAAAATAACGTAACTAAGCGTGTATATCCCTTAACTTTTGTAAATATTTATAAAAAAACAACAACAGAAGTACTATTAGCATGCTTCCGGTAAAAAACATGTATTTGAACTTCAAAACATATTGTAGCACACGAAGAAAATATTTTCTTTGATCTATATTATATAGATTTCCAAGTTCACTTCTACAGAGCGGTCAAGACTCTCTGGCCAAGTTGGAAGAAGATTTAGCTTATTTTACATGCTCGAAATACTGGTCATTCACATAACACCGACAGACTGATTAAGTTTGAATCTAGTTTCTGGCTTCACAGACCAATTACTTGAGAGTAGTTGTTCGGGCAATAAAAACTGTTAAGAAGGGTAGAAGATTGTGAATGTATCTGACACCCACCCACGCACCCCCTGTTCTTCTGCGTAATTCCAGCCCTGATACATAAATATGAATCTTTTCATTATATATGGAGACTTCCTGTTTTTCAGTATACAAAACAAGGGCACACAACTATTAATGGTTTTGTTCTGTTGTAGGAACAACTTTCATAAGGTAAAAGACAATGGTAGATTTCGCAGTCACGTGCTAGCTGTTAGTTCAGCTTTATTCATGGCCAGTTTACTAGAAAATGTACTTTGTATTGTGATATAGCAATTTTGCATGATTTACTATTTTCATTTATTAAAATGAAGGACAAAACCACAATACTAGCACACAAATGAATAAATTGTACTATTTCCCCTCCGTAACATTTTTAATCACGTACAACGCACGTTCCGCCAACGCCGAATAGTAATTAACAAGTCTTGTAAAGGGTGGATTTTCCACACAGCTAAGATTAAAGAGAAGGCAGATTCCCACGACCTATAGAACGTGCTTCTGCAGTTAATTACACAAAAATCACCCATCTGATCTTTACGTGTGCACGCTGCTGTAACGCCTGTTTTCGCTAATCTTGTTGATAAAGGTGCTTGATCAGCTTTCCTATTATGTCTTCTGGATACGGTTTATTAGGCCAAACTTTCCTAACAGATAGACATTTATGTGTAACAAATCAGTAATTATCACATTAAAGTTCATTCAGGAATACAAAAAGAAAGAAAGAACGGATTTTTTTAAATCTTGCAATGAATAAAGTATGTGCTGCAGTAAGGTATTTTGGAGAATACTAACGGTATGCC